TCTTGTCTGATCCCCTCCCTGTAACGTCTGGAGTGCCCCAGGGTTCCATTCTGGGTCCTTTGTTATTCTTGCTTTACGTTAATGACCTACCTTCAGTTGTCCCCGATGTTAGTTTGTATGCGGATGACACTGGCCTTATCTGTTCTGATTCCTCCCCTGCACAATTACTCCTTACCATGCAGCATCGCATCAACAGCACTGTCATGTGGATGCAAACGTGGAAACTCCATCCCAATTTAGACAAGACAGAAGCCATGTATATTTCTTCATCCCCTCCTGATCAACCATTATACTTCCCTAAATCGACTATGCCTATCCGTGTTGTTACTCAGCACAAACATCTAGGTGTGATGTTTGACTGCAAACTCTCTTGGGCTGCACATGTCAACTGTGTATGCAAGCGAACCAGTTCAGCATTAGGGGTACTACAACCACATTGCACTCATTTGCCCATCCAGTGTAAACTATTATTTTATCAGTGCTATATTCTCCCTATATTCGACTATTGCGATACCGCTTGGTGTGGCCTTTCTGACACAACTCTGAACCAATTAGAAGTCCACCATAGATTTATACTTAAAATTCTTTACAACAAGGATCGATGTTTTCCTTCGGATGCCCTTCATCGACTTGCACACATTTCTCCTCTCTCCGTTCGTCATAAGCACCATCTCTGTACACTGGTTCATAAAATATTTCTTCATAAAACCCCTTCACACATGATGAAGTACAATTGGTTTTCGACAAGCTCAACCCGTAACGCGCTCATCCTGCCTCTTGTTAAGTCAGCCCAGTATCTAAAGTCACCTTTGTTTTCCGGCTACTCTCATTGGTTATCATTACCATACGGTCTGAAAACTTGTTCTTCTATTGGTCAGTTTAAAGATCTACTATCACAACTGAACTAGATGCAGTAATTATCATCGAAGAACATTCTCGAATACCTGGGTGATACACGAATTTTGATAGTGCTCCCTTCCGTTAATCGTTTTTCTTTGTAATTTTCCATTCATTTTCCGCTCTAATTCATATTTGCTTTGTTTTCCTAGCTTACTATTGCCGTGGCTGGCTCAACGCCCTTGTCTCAGGGGATTCTGTCCCTGCATTAGCTATGTTTGTCACATGCTATGAGATTGTGTCTAATAATAATAATAATTATAATGATTAGAACACAACACCAAAAAATGAAAACAATTGTATGTGTGAAAAACGCAAAAAAACGAGAAACAAAAAAACAAAAAACACCAAAACACCAAAAACAAAAACAAAACAAAAAAAACAAACAAAAAAAACAGGAAAATACAAGGGCACTGTCCTGCCCACCATCGTCTCCAAAACCTCACAGCCGGCCCTCCGAGATTGCCAACTCTCGCAATGCATTCACAGGACGGTGATATGACGATCGAGCACCGCGGATGCACATGATCGCCGACCGCAACAATGCAAACGCCAGTCGACACCGGACATATGTCATTGTCTGGGCATACAACTTCGTGTCCCCACTCGAAATGAAGCCACACAGGCGCTTAACAAATCTGGAGCACTCTGGCGCACAACAACCGGCCGTGGTGAAAACTAGTGGAGTAAATGTCCCACGGTCCACATTGATGATGCGCTCAGCATACTGCAGCTTCTTCTTCCTCTCATGATCCGCCAACAGTTTGTCGAGAGGTTTGGTGGCATAGGACGGAGCATCGGGATGAAGAACCCGGACATCCAGGAAAGCATTCTGTGCCCTGGTCCACAGCCCTCGAGCCCGGATATCAGCGCGAGCATCGTTGGCGGTGATAGTTGAGGCTGCCAGAAACACCTCTCCCGAAACCGGAGCAAGCTGAGGCTCGACAGCGACATCCGAGCAAACTTCAGTAAGTAAGTCGGCAAGAATATCGCGAACTTCATTGTGCCGAATGGTGGGGAAACCACCAGTAGGGCAACACATGGCATGGGCCGGACTAAACGGTTGGCCACAAGAGCAGGTAGTAGTCATATCAACCAATGCCCAGTCATACCGCAACGCCACCGCATCCCTGAAATCTCCCTTCGACAGATGATATCCGTGTTCTCTGATAGGCAGTGTGTTGAGCCAGCTAGAGACACCTCGGGAGGACAAATGCTCCAAACGACATATCCGCCGACGCCGACTGCCGCAGCTGGCGGAACTCAGCCTCACTTGCTGTGCCGCGTTGTCTGGCAAAATCCTTCTTGGCTGTCATAGCATCTTGCCGAACACGTTCCGGTGCTTGCTTGGTCCATGCTGTGTTGTTCTGTTGCAGAATTTCACTAACCTGGGCTGCTGTCATTGCTCTGGAAGCGTCGCGCTCTGTCCCGCTCATGCTGTGAAAGTGTGGAATGGCCATTCCCCCGAAACGAGTCGGCAGCCTGAGCATCACCAAATCCTCCGTGGTGAATGCATCTCGACCAGTTGCAGCCGGCAAGAACTCAGTTTCGATTACCTTGTCCAACGCTGATACTGCGTCCTCCGGAATGGGAACCGTACGAAAGAGGTAGACCCAACGACCCCGCAGGCCATGAGTCAAAGCTGCATAAGCCGCGTGAGGCTCTGTGCTGGCAAACTTTGCTAATGTGCGTAGCTCCTTGCACCAATCATCAACCCTCTCCCTCACTTGGCTGGCAACATCATCAGGCTCCCCGATGTATGAGCCTAGATATTTAGTGCTGCCGGTGACAATGCGGACACCGGTGCCTTCAAACAGATGGGAAGCCTCCTCCTCCAATCCGGGCTTCACGAGAAGTAGGGCTTTGTCCGGATTGGTGAAATATCCATACAGGCGATCGTGTTCCTGGATTGTTGTCCACCAGTCTCGAATCGCTCTCATCCTGCCAGCACCACTGGAGTCATCCGCATACCAAATCTGCTTAACGGCATCGTGTTGCTGCTGCAAATGCCGAATGATGGGGAGTGTGGCCAATGCATAAAATGCCATGGACAGCGGGTCTCCCTGGGTAGTACCCTCCTTTGACGAAATCTCCCCACCACCAGCGACAAACAGACGTGCCTCCGACTAATAGGAGTTTAGAAGAATGGTGGATAGTGCTGGACAGAGGCGCTGAACGTTATGCAATTTTTTATTATATTTATTATTATCGTGATAATTGATGAAATACATGGTAGTTTCGTAGGTGTGTTGCGGTGATGTTTTCACCTGACATGCGAGCCGATAATTCTTAGATGTGTTCATTTCTTGCTCTACTTTCGTTGTGTTTGCATGTGTGTGTGCGCTTGTCCGTTTGTGTGTATGATTGTCGCTGTGAATGTCGGTTTATTGTTCTATTGTAGCCGGATACTATGACGTCTTTCAAAGTAGAGCTGCTGTTAGCTGCTGTTAGCTCATCGTAGAGCTGCAATGCTAATGGATGTAATATAGCTCAAGGCAGAGCCGCAGAAAATTGCCAGATAACACCAGTTGTGAGAGTGTTTGCTCAAAGTAGAGATGCTAATAGCCAAACGTAGAGCCGCTGTAAGCTCAAAGTAGAAATGCTGTTAGCTCAAATTTGAGCTGCTGTTAGCTCAAAGTAGAGCTGCTATTAGCTCATCGTAGAGCTGCAATGCAAATGGATGTAATATAGCTCAAGGCAGAGCCACAGGAAATGGCTACATGTAGATAACACCAGTTGTGAAAGTGGACTCGATCAGTTCCTACCATTATTATCATGATGGTCTGAATACGTTGGATAGGGAGGGATGGGGGAAAAGAAACACTGCAGAAGGACGATCTGTTGTCTGGAAGAACACAACAGGGCAAGCAAGATTAGTTTTTCTTTTCAGCAAAACGAGTTGGGTGCCATATCGTTGTGATTATGCAGCAAAACATAGCGCATGACGTCAGTCTTGAAGGCAGTATAGAGCCATGCAGTGCAGCGTGTGAGCTACATGTAGCTCGGACGAGTACTAGCACAGCTAGCACCCCAAATTTGGTGTCGATGGGATCTTTCAAATAAGATACTGTGTCCTAACTGCCTTTTCTGACAAATGGAGAGGTGAATCCGTTGTTATATGTTTTGAGTTAACCTGGCTTTAATGGTGTTGGGGTGGCGGTTCAATCATGTGACCTGTGACAATCGCTTATGTCCAGAGATGCCCTACAGCTAAGTACTTTACCACTAGTGGTCATCCGACCAGTGACCGTTCAATATTTTCCGCAGACTTTGAAACTCACGTCTCCTGTGAATCCACACAAGCTGGTTGGATGCAAGGAACGTGCAAGACATTTCCTGTTTTAATTGTGCTTTTTGTACATAGTGTGGAACTCACGATATTCATTTCTCTTGTATCTTTCTTAACACTTAGCTCCACCGACATTGTCAACAGTTATAACGTGACGAGTTAGCAAGAGCACCATATCTATGCTTAGAACAGGGCGTAAATTAATCGATTGTGTAACAGATTCCCGTTACTCCCTAGACCATATCACAGGAGACCATATCAACCATGAATCTGTTCAAAGCAGACACTTTGTGTTTTTCGATTCTAACAACAAAGTGTCTCAGATTGCATCACCTCTTGTCACGTGTTGCAGATACCACACGAAGCTTGGCTGATCCCAGGTCAAGCGTTAAGGTGAAGAAAAATATGGAAATAGAGATAGTGTGCGTGTGTTTGTGTATGGGGAGTGGGTGTTTGTTTGTGTGAGTGTGCATGTGTGTGTTACCGGGCGCGAGCTCATGAGGTGAAAAGATCATGATGTGTCACTTAAATGTAAGGATCGGCTCGGATAGAGAATCAATTATAAATTTATAGGAAATAAAAAGGACCAAGGAACTACTATTTACGCTTTAACGTCGGTCAACGTCGGTAAATGTCGTGCAAATTTATCGCATGAGCTGATTGTTTTAAAGTATTTGGTCGAGATAATTATAGAGCAGCTCGTTAATGTATTGGCCTAGAAATAGACATCAACGTGACAAATTATCTCAAAGTGTTCATGTACTTATTCGGGAAACACAGCTGCTACTGATTACAGTACTAACCTCCTAGCATGAGTTGTTTCTGCTCTATGGATTATTGGTATTGAATTCGGATACTTTACCCTACATGGCAAGAGAATTCCGTTTGGAAGAATTGTTGAAGTAAGTGAATCATGGATGATTGTGACTGGACTTCGGATGGAAGTGCCGACTCTGATACACTCTCACCACTTCCACCATTAGTGATATGGACCAGCAGAAGGTCAACTGGGTATCCCCCACAGCGAAATATACCATTTTACGGTACGACTTACACGGCTCATCACCACGCAAACCCCAATAGCGGTAACCCAGAGACGACCTCAGAAGGCTCCTTTGCGAATTATGCACTTCAGCATTCCTCATTCACCACTTCGAACACACCTACATCTACCTCCAGAGTGTTCCAAGATCATCCTTGGCTGGACACTGCAGCAGACATCTTCAGGCCACCTCAACCAGAGTTCCAGAGGAACAAGGATACACGCGCTAATGATCCTTTAACAGCAACTGACGATAACCCATGCTCTAATCCCATGACATCAGCAATGGACAATGGCCAAAGATCGCAAAGCAACCGTAACCAAACTGCTAACCATCCCGTTTCTGTTTCAGATCACTACACAGGCCACGCACACGTTGGGTATGAGTCGGAAGATAGCGAATACTCAGGCAAATCTGCCGATACTGGGGAGAGACCATACAAGTGTAAAGAATGTGGCAAAGAATTCACAAAACGATCAAATCTCACAAATCATCAACGCATCCATACTGGAGAAAAACCCTTCAAGTGTACCGTTTGTGACAAAGCATTTAGGACTCCGTCAAATCTTTCAAATCATAAACGCATCCATACTGGATGGAAACCCTTCAAATGTAACGTTTGTGGCGAATCATTCAGGACTACTGCACATCTTGCAGGTCATCAACGCATCCATACCGGTGAGAAACCATTCCAGTGTCAAGTATGTAATAAGGCATTCAGACAAATATCACATCTCACACGTCATGAACGCCTCCATTCTGGAACGACACCATTTTCGTGTAAAGTATGTGGAAAGTCTTTCTCTCGGAAATCCAATCTAATAGCACACGAACGAATCCATCCCTGAGAGGAACTTATCAGCGACTGTGACAAGTCTTTCAATATTAAAAAAAACACCTGGAAGACCATGCAAAAAACACCGTTAAACAAAAGGCTTCTTTCCCATATTATGGAAAATGTTCATTATAAGTGCGTTTTTGAAATGCAAGCAGCCCAATCTGAACTACAAGCAAAACTCACTACTTACATGCTGACTTCCATATGAAGCATCACAAACATTATCATTATCATTGTTTTAGAGTTGATATACTGTACAGTTTCTAGCCATGTTACACAATGCACTTCGTACACGTATTTCCATATCTAAAATTCGCAAAAAAAAAAAGTTGAGCTGATCATGTGGCTCGTGTTTTATAAAATCAGTACGTTTTCGCGCATTTTTACTCTTCTGCACGCATGCTAGGTATGAATCCTTTTCCTCAGAAGAGACGCTGTGCTGTTTTGAAGTTGGCACATAATGCTAAATATGTGAGATAGTTTATACCTGTATGTACATGTCTACCTCTGGTCTCATTTGTATAGACCCGTTCAAGTACCCGTCAAAACATTTAAAATCTTCTAATAAAAAGATTATCTCAATGTTCATTTGCTCGAGGGAAATGTGGAAAGGGGAAAATGACTGTGACCACCAAGACTCCAATTTGATACAATCGATTATGCCCAGCCATACTCTACCACTAATCACTCTACCACTACTAGTCATCCAAGCAGCGACTGCTCAACATTTTCCTCAGACTTAGAAACTCTCGCTTCCTGTGAATCCACAAAATCTAGTGGGATGCAAGGAACGTACATGACGTTTAGGGTTCAAATGTGGTGTTTTCACATCGTGCGGCACTCAGGATATTCATGATACAAGTGCACGACGACGAAGGTTGACCCTTCGTTCAGTGGCTTCTCAACTTTGGTTACGTAATCTTGTTACAAGTACCTTTTTGCATTTCCTTTTGTGGTTGTATTGCACCTGTACCATAATATTATGTGGCATTTCTAACACCTCAGGATATGCATTCCGCTTATATCAGATTCTTTCTTAAAATTTAGCTCCACCTAAATTGTCAACAGTTATAATGTGTCGAGGTAGCAAGAAGACCATACCAATGCTTAGAACTGGGCATAGTGTACTAGATCATACATAACATATAATCAGCACTGCCTATATTATCATAATACTCATAAAAAGGACACACTTCAGGCTCATTACAAACATCTTGAACGTTTTTTCCTCACAATTATACTTTCAAGCCTTCTCGTCAGGTGAAATACAGGCAAGGGAAAGGAACAGGAACAGTGGGTTAAATGCAGTAAGAAGGTGGTAAAACAGGGCACAAAAAGAAGATAGCTAAAGTAAACAGCAAAATTTGCAATAATTAGACAAAAATGCAATTGAGAGAAAACTCAATACGCGTGACATATAGTGCGACAACAAGAGACAACCACTGGACATACATGTAACTAACGAGGTTTTGACGACCTACCTAACAGCCTAAGTATTTCACCGGACGAGAAGGCTTAAAAGTATACTTGTGAAGACAAAAACCTTCCAGATGTTTGCAATGAGCCTGAAGTGTGTCCTTTTCATGAGTATTATCGCATTTTTGTCTCAGAGGAAACTGTTTACCTATATTATCAATTATCACAAGAGCCGATATAAACCATGTATCTATTCATATCAGACACTTTGTTGTAATATTCGAACAGCAAAGTGTCTTTGATTGCATCACCTCTTGTCAGGTGTTGCAGAGTCAGCATGAAGCTTGGGTGATCCCATGTCTCGCGCTAAGGTGAAGACAAATATGGAAATAGATAGATTGTGCATGTGTGTTTGCGTTTGTGTTGGGGTGTGAGTGTGTATGTGTGTGTTTCCGCGCGTGAGCTCATGATGTGAAACTATTAAAATGTGTCAGTTAAATGTAGCTCAAACTAGAATTCAAAGGTATCCTGGAAGAAGTAGCACCTTCCGCGGTTTTAGTGAAAAGTTGACCCGTCACTGCCATCCGAAGCACAGGAGGAGCACGTCGCTCCTTCCACTCGGCAAACCCGAAAGCACCACCCCTGTTCAATTCATAGTATTTCACGGAATCTACCCCTCATCCATTGAGCTTGATTGGGCTGAGGAATAGCCCCTCAAGCACACACGTCGTGAAGCCCCAGGCAGTAGCGTAAGTCAGAGTCGCTCATGGAGGTGGGCTAAACAGACGCAACGCCGACATCTCCAACAAACACATATCCTGTAAGTAGCGACTTTGGATCGATTAGGAATCAAAGGTTTCACTTAAAGTAGTGGACACAGCATCCACCGTTGTCTTCAGATCAGCATTTTAAGCTTCTTTAGGAAATAATAGTTGCTTCGTGTAGCATTGGTTTTGTTCACTTATTAAAAATAAAATGTATAATTTAAAATAGCAATGCACAAAACTAATTGTGCACTCATAACCATGTACGAAACAATGAAAATGAAACAATTCCAGAACGTTTTCTCGTGACCATGTTCAGCAAACAATGTAACTGATCATTACCCCAAAAGAACTTGTTTGCGCTCAGGTTGAGTAATAAAACAAATGCACATCTATTGCGTAGTAAGCAAACGTAACAGTTGAACTTTATGATTTTGCTCACCTCCTCAGACTATACTACTTTATAATGTGAATGCAGAGTGCGCCCTTTCCATCCAGTGGCCCTCCATCCCTGCAGAAGAGAAAGACGCCTACAGCCCACCGCTTTGGAGGCCTTTACAATTTTTCACATGGCCTGGTAACTGATAAACACGCCAAGAACGAAACCTTGAAAAATAATACTTCGAAGTAACAATACGAATAATAAAATCGCTACAAAGACAATTGCACAGTAAGCTTTTCATTATGTCGACATGTATGTGTTAAATGTTGTACGATTATCGCAACGCACACAACGAAAGGGAAAGCGAGGATTTGTTCAGAACTGTTTTCTTGTTACAATCATCAGTGAATCTACGTAACAATGGAATGGTGACTACTTGAAACTAATCTTGTATGGACAGATAAAAGTGAAAGAAGGGGAAAAAGAGGGAAACAAAAAGGTGATAATCGTACAACGTTTTACACATACATGTCGACATATATGAAATGTTTACGGTGCAATTAGTTGTCTTTGTAGCTATATTAAAACTCCTGTCTCCGAAACGCTTGTTCACTATTAATACTACAAAAAATGTATTGGCTACGCATGCACCTGCGAATTGGGACATGTGTCAAAAAGTATTGAACGTTTTCGTTCCTTCTTCTCAAAATACTACAGGGAATGATGAAAATATGCTAAGAGACTACAGCTATAAAGAAAAGAACTTCCGAGATACATCACTCCAATAATTTGTAGAAGTGACAAGGGAAAAAAATAGATGTGAATAGTAAAGAAAACAGAATGCATAATCCAATTAGTGACAAAAGCGTAGTGACAAGAAAAGGACAGAAAATAGACAAAGACAACACATTCTCCTTCTGAACACAAAGCTCAGGTCCTGACTAACATATGTACAAAGCTTCCAACACGGCAAGGACATATTCTCTCTTTTTCTTGCCACTACGTTTTTGTCGTTGGCGTTGAAATGAAAATGTAATTTTTGATCAGTAGTTGTAACCCTAGTGCTTAACAGTCGCTTTTTGTTTCGTAATTTTTTCATATCTCTATATCTGATAATTTGGTCTGGAATAATTTCTCCCCGGTCAGATTGTTCCGACCGGAAAGAGTGGTGGAAGGTGTTTACATCTAGATCCGTTCAAGCAGCATGCATGCCAGATATCTTTTACTAGTGGTGTTTGTACATAGTGGACAAATCAATATATTCATTGGGTTGAAATCTTCTGAGGAAAATTGTTTGCTCCCCACAACAGAGCTCGCGCTTTCCGCCGACTGACTTCATACCTGGCTAAAGAGTGGTGATATTTTGCAGGCTAGCTTGATTCGAAGTTTCGGTTGACTTCTTGTGTTCTCTTGGTGGCAATCATGAGTCGATTAAAATCAAGTCAGTAGGCGTATAGAGTAAGCCCCGGTGTGAGGAACAAAAACTTTCCATATGAAGTAATCGCCGAAGTTGCTAACAGTTATCGCCTGTTGGTATCTTCGTTACTTCTGTCTTCACCACAACTTGCTTCACCAACTATAGCAAGGCCAATAACACGGGAAATACATTATCTGTAGATTTAATTTTCATGTTTTTAGTGCGCACGCAACACACTCTTTTGTCTTTTCATTGCGTTAACACCTGTAACGTGATAAAAGAACAATGATATTCAATGCATATCAGTGCCGAAAGCGGAGGTTAATGTTGAAGATCATGACATTGTCACATCTTGTAAACACTTCCTATAATATCTCCCTCTACGCTAAAGAACCTCCATAAAACTGTGTCTCAATTCATATATATTTTTAGCAACAAAGACTCTCTATTGCACTTTCTCAAGTCTGGTGCGTGCCATGAATGTTTCACATTTTTCGATTCCAAATGAGGTGTGAAGGTGAAGACGAAATTTGAGAGATAGTTCATGGTGGGGAATTTTGTATGTGTGTGTAAGTGTGTGTGTGTGTCTGCGCGCGTTACATGACAAGAATTACTTCGAAGTATACACATTGTGTCAGGTAAAGGGACAGTGCTAGAAATAGATGTGAACTGTGTTGACGTGTCGACTTGGCACACTGTACATCTACTTACTAAGGGGGAACACCAGCTGCTACTAATTACAAATAATATTGGCTACGACCAAGAAGAGTTGTCTTCCTATTTGAATTGTTGACATTGAATTCGAATACCTTGCCGAATTTGGAAGAAGAATTAATTTGAAAAGGTGGTGAAAATTGGTCAATGAAGTGAATCATGGACGATAGTGACTGGACTTCGGAGGGGTGTGTCGACTATGATGCACAATCACCATCGCCACCATTAGTGATATGGACAAGCAGAAGGGCAGTTCCACCGCCAGCTACATTACCCTACAATGCACCTTACACAGCTCTATACCCCGCAAACCACGATAGTGGTGAACAAATAACGACCGCACAGGTCTCCTATAGTTCTATTCAGGGTTCCTCATTCAGTTCTTGGAACACACAAACGTCTTCCTTCGGTGTACTTCAAGATTATCGGCTGAAGAGCGTTGCTGACAACGTCATGGACCCCCGACCCGAAATCCAGAGGGCGAAAGATACAAAGCCCAGTGAAGCTCCAACCACAGCTGTCTTAAACCCATGTTTGGATCCCATGACATTGGCAATGGACGACGATCACTGTACGCGAGACAACAGTAAAGCAACTGTAAACTATTCCGTTCCCGTTTCAGATCACTACACAGGCAGTGGGAACGTAACGTTAAACTCGGAGTATAGCAATTTCTCAAGCAATGCTGGCAATGTTAACGTTAACGG